CCTCCTCCTAGGCTATTTTTGGCGTGTCGCATGTCCTCGATAGAAATGAAAAATGTCGAGCGCCCAAACTTTTGTGATGACGTCGTGCCAAAGTAAATAAACTACGGAGCACGCGATTGGTCAAATAGCCTAGGCAACAAACCTCTCATTAATATTCATTTTGAAGTCTTGCTGGTTACGTCATTCAGCTGGCTGCAGCTTTGTTTTGATTTGTACGATCGGACTACGATCGATAGCGACAAATAAACAGTGCCAAAAATGCTCCCATTTTGTAATAAATTGCACTATCTTGGAAACGGGGGATCGTTTTCTGGCTAAGGGGGTTCGCTGGCAAAAGGGGGGTTCGCTGAAAAAGGGGGGTTCGCCCGAACCCCTAAAAACCCCCCTGGCTACGGGCCTGGTCTCTTACTGTGCAGGTTATTTGACACGAGATGGTCTGTCAGTTGATCAGCAACACATCTCTCGAGAACCTTTCGGATAAAGGATAAGTTGGAAATCGGACGATATTTCTTTAAGCTCTCCTGGTCTAGAGATGATTTCTTTATAAGTGGCATTAAACGTGCTTCTTTGAAGGTGTTCGGAACTATACCAGATGAGAGTGATTTATTGATGATGTCACAGATGGTTGGAAGGAGTTCATCGATGCATTCTTTCAGAAGCCAAGAGGGTATGGGGTCCAAAGGACAAGAGGTCGATTTTGGCGTCATAATTATATTTCGTAGATTATCTTGCGACACGTTTGAGAATGTTCTGAATGGGAGTACGTCAGCACGTTCCTAATGCATATAATTAGCACTATCTGAGTCGTTGTCAAGTTCAATCTTAACCTTGAGAGTCTTGTTGCGAAAGAATGCAGAGAATCGGCAAGCAAGATCTTCGGAAAACTCATGTAAAGGTATGATCTTCTTATGATTTTAGAAGTAAGATTATTTATTAATTTAAACAATTTTCCCTGTTCACATTATGCCACTTGACATCTGTGAAAATCGGCTTTAAACTTTTCGAGCATTTGTTTATATCTGTTGCATTCAACATGATATATTTGTTTATGCACCTCTAAGCCAGACGAAACCCACTTTCTTTCACAACGGCGTTTAATCCGCTTTTGGTTACGTAAATCCTCATTGTACCAAGGTGCGTTAGGTCTTAATGTTATCAACCTGGTAACTATTGGGGCATGTCGATCCAAGAGCTGAGAAAGAACGCTGTTGTATTGAGCTACGAAGGTGTCAATACCTGAAGCAGGAGTCGCTATTAGCTCTGATTTCATAATATCACTCTTGAAACACCCGATGTCAATTTGGCGACTTTTGCGAAAGGTGATCTTATGTCTGACTGAGTCTGGACGTGATATATTTAAATGACATACAATTGGGAAATGGTCAGAAGGTTGATCACAGTGAATTGAAATGTCGGATATAAGTTCATCAATATCTCTACAGATTAACAGGTCAAGTGTGTGACCACTCTTATGGGTGGGGCCGGTGACATGCTGTGTGAATCCGGCAATGGATAGAAGGTTCTTCATAATGTTGGCATCGCCATCATCTGTATTTTCCATGTGGAAATTAAAGTCGCCAGCCAGTAATACTCGACCAGGTATGCTGTTGATAACTTCCAGGAAAGTGGAGAAGTCTGAGAAGAAAATCTTAGTTGTTTTTTTTTAGTATGGCGGCCGATAAACAAGGAAAAGTCTACAAGAAGAAGACTTAGAAGTAACGGTAAGGTCCATATGTTCGAATGATTTAAACGGAGGTCCATTAATTGACTTCGACAGAGAAGCCTTTGCGCAAGATCACGCATACACCTCCACCTGTGGTGTGGCTTCTGGAACGATGAAAGAGTTCAAAGTCAGGAAGCGTTTTTTTGACGTCTGCAATGGCACGATGAGAGCGATCATCATTAGTTAGCCAAGATTCGGTTATAGCCAGTGGCGTAGAAAAATATTTTTCATTGCGGGGGATGATTGGCGTGTTAGCCAGTGTCGTAACAGGCGCGGGGGTGGGGCAGGGGAAAAACTGCCCCTCCCCTGACGGTTATTACCGGGCCGACCAAGTCGCCGTACCGGGCTGGGTAATAAGAGAAAAGAAAGGGGGGGGAGGGAGGGAAAGAGAAAAAGAATAAAAGAAAAGGAAAGGAAAAGAGAAGAGAAAAATAGACAAGAATAAAAAGGAAGATATCATAATGA